ATCTAGAAACAGAAGATGGGTTTGAATGGGATGTTTTTTTAACTGAAGTACAAAAGGACTTTTCTCATTTAGAAGCTAAGCACAATAGGAAAAAGGAAGTTTACATGCTTGCAATTTCAAGCAAGGATCAAGACATTGTTCCTTAGTGTGACTCATAACCAGGAATTCATATCTAGATTCCTGTTAGCTTGCACATCTGACTCATGTCCTCTCACAAGGGGTGGTGCAGAAGCTATTCTGAAAGTTGTAAGACAATAATTTTCAGCTATACCAGAGACTTATAAAAATGAGCCATTTCAGTCTCCTGGAAATGACGAGAAATATTTCAGCCATTAATGGCAACTATTTACTCTCCAAGGCAGAAGGCCATAATCAGCAAGGGTTGAATATAGAAATATTATGTAGGTACACTTCCCAAACATTTTGGGCCGATCCATATTATGTGTCATACAGCCAAGCCGAGCCAAGCCACCACTGCAACCTGTATGTAAAAATATATATGTATTTACTGTATTTTACTTAATTTAGTAATCACCTTGAATTTGTAAAAATTACCAAATTACCTCCCTTTCCCCTGTTTATTTATCATTATTTTTTAATAGTCTTCATTAAGACAAATACAAAATTTATTCTGGAAGGTAAGACAGAAACCAAACTCTTCTGCAGAATGGGAATTAGAGCGACTCACCTTTTACAGCCTGCCTGTGAATATTTGTGACATAGAGAGTTTCACAGACATGTCTCCCATCTCCTGAAGACTGCATCTATCTATTTTTCTCTTGTTTTCTCGCCTCTATATGTATGTGCCTTTGTACAGGACAGGCTGTTGCAGCATTTCAGTCAAGTCCATGCTTGGGAACCTTCTTCCCAGTTCCATATCTCACTCATTGTTACGTGTCTCAAGCAGGCAGGTAAAACAGGCAATTTTGGTCTCATGGGCTACCTGTCTGATATAAAAACTGATTCTCAACGGAACTCGAAATGAGAAATGGGCTTGACGTTCTACACAGCCACCAGGCTTCCACTGTGCTACATGCTGTAAATTCCTGGAAATGAAAAAGATACTCTCTGCCCTAAAGAGCATATAGCCTTCTAGCACACATATACCACAAATACACAGGGAGGAAGAAAGTCAAACATTACAAGAGGAAGAGTAGCACGAGGAAAGCTAAACCCTGAGTGTTTTACCCATGAAAAAAATCTGACTGATACTTTCTAGCTACTCTTCATAGGCCTCTGAAAACCTTCCTTTCTCCTCCCTTCTATATAAAGTGAATTTGTTCTGGGGGCCTACCACAAGAAGCAAAACAGGGAATAAACGAAAGAGCAATAATTATGTAGAGAGCAATAGATCTACATCTATGCAAAAAATGCAGAAACAGTCCTACTGCTTTTCATTTTGCTGCTCTCGGAAGGTTTCTGTGGGAAGCAGAACACTTATCCCTCTCAGCTTTAACCCCATATTTAACTCCCCCATCAATAGCCTCTGCATAATGAAAATTCAAAACTGTAAATTATGACATTGTGTAATTTCTTTGTCATTAATGGCAGTTCCAATTGGTAAGGACTTGAAGAGTGTATCCCAGATGATGTGAAAATATTCTCTCTAATACACAACAAGTTATTTAATATACTTAAACAAGAACTGTCTCATTGGAAGTCCACCTACTTTCAACAAGGTTACATAAGGCTGTGCTTCATTGCCATTACCACAGTGCAATCTGATAAAATTTCTTTCTTATGAAATTTAACCTTTGGTTCCTAAATAGCAAATGATGCAAGACATAAATTTCAAAATATGTCACACCAGAAAAAAAAAGTAAAATATTTATGGTAATATTTTAACTGTGTTTATGCTATGACCAACCATTATAACCACACTTTTGCAAAATGGATTTCTCTTCAAAAGATTCCCAAAAGAAACAGCTTTTCTAAATCAGAGGCTATTTTTTCTCATTTCTCCCTGCAGTCAAGTAAATAGGTATCTGGGCCATGAAGTTCTTTGTGCTTTGTTTGCATTCAAAGGTCAAACCAGTTGATTAAAATGGCAACTAGTAAGTCCATCTAATGTGGTTACATGGTGGCCCAATAGTCTCCATGTGCACCTCATTAGGTCTAATTGCATTGAAGTGAACTGTAATTCACTGTTAATATAAAACAGCTGAGAGGATGGAGTTCTTCATACAAAGCGCAGTCAGGTAAGTAATTTCAAGCACGCTTTGTGTCCTTGCAAATTACAGCAGAATTAAGAGAAAGCTTGCATATTACTGACAAAGTGAAAAGGCTAGTAATCAGTAGATCAGGCTCAAGAGACAAAGGCTTAGTATGCAAGTGCAATACAGTATTTGCCAGCAAAAACTTCAGGACTGTACACGCATTAGACATCCATGGTTTTGATAGAATACTATTCATAGAATCATAGAAGAGTTAGGGTTGGAAAGGACATTAACATCATCTAGTTCCAACCCCCCTGCCATGGGCAGGGACACCTCACACTAAACCATGTCACCCAAAGCTTTATCCAACCTGGCCTTAAGCATCGTCAGGGATGGAGCATTCACAGCTTCCTTGGGAAACACATTCCAGTGCCTCACCACCCTAACAGGAAAGAACTTCCTCCTTATATCCAATATAAACTTCCCCTGTTTAAGTTTGAACCCATTACCCCTTGTCCTATCACTGCAATCTCTAATGGAGCGTCCCTCCCAGCGTCCTTATAGGCCCCCTTCACACACTGGAAGGCTGCTATGAGGTCTCCACTCAGCCTTCTGTTCTCCAGCCTGAACAGCCCCAACTTTCTCAGCCTGTCTTCATACAGGAGGTGCTCCAGCCCTCGATCATCCTCGTAGCCCTCCTCTGCACTTGTCCCAACAGTTCCATGTCCTTTTTATGTTGAGGACACCAGAACTGCACACAATACTCCAGGTGAGGTCTCACGAGAGCAGAGTAGGGGGGCAGGATCACCTCCTTTGATCTGCTGGTCACGTTCCTTTTGATGCAGCCCAGGATACGGTTGGCTTTCTGGGCTGCGAGCGCACACTGAAGCCAGCTCATGTTCATTTTCTCATCGACCAACACCCCCAAGTCCTTCTCTGAAGGGCTGCTTTGAATTTCTTCTTTGCCCAACCTGTAGCTGTGCCTGGGATTGCTTCAGCCCAGGTGTAGGACCTTGCGCTTGGCATGGTTAAACTCCATAAGGTTGGCATCAGCCCACCTCACAAGCATGTCAAAGTCCCTCTGAACAGCATTCCTTCTCTCCAGTGTATCAACTGAACCACACAGCTTGGTGTCATCGGCAGACTTGCTGAGGGTGCCCTCAATCCCACTGTCCATGTCACCGACAAAGATGTTGAACAAGACTGGTCCCAACACCAACCCCTGAGGGACACCACTCATTACTGGTCTCCAGCCGGACATTGAGCCATTGATCACAACTCTTTGCGTGCGGCCATCCAGCCAGTTCTTTATCCACCGAGTGGTCCATCCATCAAATTGATGTTGCTCCAATTTAGAGACAAGGATGTCATGTGAGACAGTGTCAAACGCTTTGCACAAGTCCAGGTAGATGATGTCAAATCATTCCTTATCTGTTCGAGGTCTCGACCCACTCCCCAGTCTTCATACTACTGAAAAAGCAAAGTTTTGTCCAGATTAGGGGAAACGACATATAAAAATCAAATCAAATCAAACCTGTAGGCAGCTCCTGAAAGACAAACTGGAAGAGAAGAAGGAACTTGAAAGAACTAAGAAAAGGCTAGACATAAATTCCAGTTTTTGGAGCAGCGTGAGATTGTTACAGTACCCACCTTTCACATCTGGCTTGCAGGGCAGAAACCATGCTTGAAAGGTACAATGCAAGGTGTAGTGGCAGTAAGGGACCTCAGAAATGGTTCCACCTTTGCTGACATGGAAGAGACTGCTAAAGAGAACACCTCCAAAACTTCACACCCAGACAAAGAAAGGCAGGTCTCAGAGGAAAAAGCACAGATGCTTACTTCAGCTAGTACCTGAACACTGTTTCAGAATATGTTCCAGATAGGGCTTTACAATTTACTTATCTTTATGCCAGGTGAATCCTATAACCTTAGCTGTTCCCATTTCTGACAGAAGTTCCTAAGTCTAACTTTGATTATCCAACATAAGCAGAACAACTTAAAAAGAAAAAGATCACTTCAAAAAAGAAGTCAAATGCCATCGCATATGCCAATTCTGAGCAAGACTGATAATCCTAACCATCTAAAATTTTTGAGCAGTCTCGCTGAATATCCAAAACTTAGTTCCTAACTGTATTACTTATTAAAACAGCACCTTAACCACACTGTGAGACCCCAGATCACAGAGTGGAACACTGCTGTGCTAGGTAGAAAGAGGACAAATCCAGTCACTTCCCAGGGACTGCAAAACAGAACATCAGGCTGAAGAGAACAGGAGAGATGCAAGCAGGTGCACAAAGAAACCAGGAAAGTAGGAAATGCAGCATTCACAGAACGTCCCAAGCCTGATATTTCTTCTCATTTCTTTCATAGGCTTCATAAAAATAAAAAGGGAGAGTTTTAAGGACTTGAATTTAATGAAGTCATCTTTCAAATATTTATGGCAGGGTCAACACAGAAGAAAGTACAAAAGTGCTTGTTTGAAAATCTAACAAGTGGTCAACAAGGGCATAACAGAAGGCAGGAGCTGACATCTCAAAAGAAGGGAAGAAGGGAAGGCTAGTATATGATACAGTAGAGATACAGACTTTGTTGCAGCATTTATTTGGACATTATGAACTTGTCAAGGCCAGGAAAAAAAACAACATTATGGCAAATGAAATATAAGACGTTTAAGAGACTGGATAAGTTTTAAGTGGTTTCCTCTAAAAAAGGGTTAATTCCCAGGCTTCATTTGATCCAGGATGCAACACTCCTCTGTCCATGTTTCTTTGCTTCAATCATGTCACAAAATAACCAAAACATGTTTCTCACTGCCGTTGATCAAAGTCAGTATAACAGTCTCACCTGATTTCTGATGAGACTGCTCACCCTGGAGATTCTCTGTGATGACCTGTAAAGAGTGCAAGGAAGAGGTGAATAAAATTCATTTCATTATTAGTGGAAAAAAAAAAAAAAAAATCAGGGTCACCAAAGTAACCACAATTGTCTGATGAAGGAAAGAGATCCCTCACTGCAACCCTCCTAAACTGCTTTGATTTACACTGCTTTCACTGACCATCTTAACTAATCTTTCTCCTAAGAGGAGGCTCTTTTATGCTTATGGGAGAAACCACACTGTGTATATACTGAAAAGTGAACTGACCCTGAAGAGTAGCAGTTGCTAATGGTGGGAAGTTTAAGTGGTTAGTATTTTCTGAACCTGCTGCTCTCCTTTGGCTCTTATTTAAATAAGTGTCAATTGCATTACTTTAGGAACAGACAGAGAGAAGAAATTTGATGTATCACTGTTGCTGCATCATACTACAGCTTCTCTATAATTTTACCTACTCTGATCTTTCAGGTACAGATGCTTTAATTGTTAAATGTCCCTGAAGACATTAAGTAGCAAAATAGCTAAATACACAGTTACCTAGGCAGCCCCCAGGAAGGATGTGCTTTGCATTAAACACTTTGATTATAATCTCTACATTCGTGATTTTGTTTCTTTGTTTCTGATAAGCAAATTGCCAATACCCAGTAAGACTGCTTCATTAATAACTTTAATTGCATATAGAATAATCAGGTATTCATATAATGAACACATGAGTATGGTCATATAGCTACTACTAGGATTAGCTACTCCAGACAGTGTAAAACATTAAAGCAATATATTATGCAAAAATTATAATTTAACTCACACTGTACTCTGGGAGAAGCAGAAAAAACTTGGGCACAAACTTTGTTGCTGGTTGAATCCTACATTGGAGTCAATCAAACCTCTCTTGCTTCCTATTCCATTTCAGGAATTCAAAAACTTTAACTTAGAAGATACTATTGTTCCAGGCTTTTCTAAGGCTCTTTTTTGACCCCCTTCGAAGGCTGTCCCTTCTACACTTTAGAGTCCTCATCTCTTCACTAGCATCTCCAATACCTTATTTTTGCTTTGAAGGCTTTTTTTAAAAGCAAGGAAAAATTACATGATATCTAATGGTTTGGCTAGTGAAGTTCTTCTCAGCCCTGCAAGTTTACAAACATCCTATAGTTGAGTGCTGGGCACTTATATGTGCAAAAGAGTTGTGTAACACAACCAACACCAACACAGAACTAATACTACAAAGATATTGAGAGCATTTATATATGAAGAGAAAATACTGCAATGTCCCAAATAAAAATAAATCCATGATCAGTTTGTGATTTACTTTGCAAGTGCCTGCTTTTTGTAGTCAAAGGTAAAGCTATAAATTCCTTCCTCTTTCTGGGAAAAGTTACAATTTAATATCTTTTATTTCTCCTTTTTTCCTTAATATTAAAGAAAAAATACCCCTGAAATGTCACTTGATTGATTGTAATGGCCAGCTGTTACAATCTCAATAGAAGTATAAGAACTGCTGCCTAAGGTGCACTGAAGAGTGCCAAGCCTCATAGCAACTCAGCTCATCCTAAACAGCACCACAGACTGGCGTGAAAACTGCAATTTTAAATTCTCCCAGAGACCCATTATTTGCAAACCATTGACACAAACAACTCCAGTCCCCCCATCAGTGTATACCTGGGGAGCTCTTCATCCACAGAGCCTTGCATGCTCAAAAGCTTTACACACTAGAAGACCTCATGAAATTTTGTCTAAAGAGGTGTTCTTAAATGTTTTTTTCCTCACCATCCAAAAATATAATCAATATATTAAATTATACACTTAGCCCATCTTGATTTAGGAAATTTTCATTACAGAAAACAAGTCTGGTATACAACTTTATGAAAAAGTAGAAAATCCAAGACAATTCATCAAAAAATTCTAGGTAGTTTTACAGAACAGACTGGTATATTTTTTAATAGTTGGAACTAAGGTGGGGAATTTATCTAGAACTTTGATTTACTGAAAATTTAATCCCCAAGGATTTATTCTTTTTTTCTATAAATCCTTGTGTTTACATTTAAACACCAGAGCATTAATATTACTGTACAATGGAACCTGCCATATGATTTTCTTTCATTTATACTAACCTTCTGTAGAACTTAAAAACCCTGAAGTGTTTAAGAACAGATTGAATATAGTATGATTAACTGACGATAACCAACTTTCAACAAAACATCTGATACACCTATCAGCAGCGAGTCTAATGGATATTTAGAATACTGCATTTTCTTGCCTTTCTACCCATTTTTTAAATTAAATCTGTGTCTGCCCTTCTAGGTTCTGTAAAATAAAAACAAACTCTAAAAATAATTATTGATATATAATTAGCTTTAAAATTACAGAAAGAATTCAGGATGGAGAAATTTAAGATTTTTGATACTTTGCAGAATAATCTGTACTGTTTAAAGTTCCACTCAGAGAAATTTCCATTGCAATATATTTCCTAAGCATCCTAAAAATACCATCTATTACACTATTTGATATGATTCTATTTTCTTTCTTATTTTCAGTTTTATGGGGGTTTGCTGCTCCTTTCTGCTTTATTTTTAGGGAAAAAAAGTGTTTAGCTTCTCTGGAAGAGTATTTTAGTTTTTATTTTTAACCTATTCTGTTTTTCAAAAATCAGAATGTGCCTGAATGGCAAAACACACTACTCTTGTTCAGATTTTGCTTCACAAGAAATTGAGGTATAGGCTCCTTCAATGCACCCAAGAGGTAAGCTCAATTTTGCAAAAGGACCAGGCAATATTCACACCTTATAGTGTGAAGATTTTGTATGCTATTACATATAGCTTAAGTAATTCACCCATCCTTTGCAATGTATTAGTATTCTTAGTGTATTAAGAAAAGTTCCTCCTTATATATATCAAAACCTCTTTTTTGTCATACCAGTCACACTTTATCTTCTGAAGGTTTTTCTAATAGTAGAAACCCTGGAGAAAGAGGAACATAATAGCAAAGAATCAATAGGCTTATTCATATTCACTGACACTCCAATCACTGCTTTCTTTACAGGGAAACTGGCACTCTTGCCCTACAATTAGAAACTTCTCATACCAGCAGCCAAGGTTGTTCCAAGCAAATCTAAGAATGAGCAGGAAAGGTGGAAATAAACTGACTCCAGGATGGCAAATAACAAACAATAAGAGAAACATAAAACTCATGCAGAGCCAAAACATTGCAGCCAAATCCAAGCACACAGTGCATATATGGTATTGCACATACACACACTCTGTAGCTGTTGCAGCTGCAGCTGTAGCAAAATACCTACTAAAATCCAACTGTGAACAAGTATTAACAGGCTCATTGCATCAATCCCATGGCAAAAGTGACACTGAGACATGAAGTTGTTGCTAATTATCCACCAGCCATTAATATATCTCCTGCTGCTGAGTTTTATCTCCTAACATTCCATCTGTGATGCTTTTTTACCTTATTTCCAATTCAGCTGCTGAAAATTTCATATGTAAGATATATTTTTTGGTCAAAGCAAAACGCAGCTCTGAGAAAGCTTCAATTCACAGAATCACATAGCAGAATAGGAAGAATGTTCATTGTAATCCTTAGCAAATATCTTCATCAAAGAACCATCAAAAGATTTGCGATGACAGTGTGAAGCTTTTCAGTTTCTTTTTTCTCTACCTTCTGTGTGTGTGTGTGTGACAGAACAAGAGGGATCTTGTAAAATTAGCAACAAAATTAACTTTCACTGGGCAAACCCATTTTTTCTAGCATAGCAAGAAATATTTCCATACTATTATGTTTTTTCTTCCTTTAAGCATGAACTAAAGATATTTATTTTTGAATACATACAGAAAAAGCTTTTTGGGGGGATAATATATACCAAAAGACGACAGTAAAAATGGGAAGGTTTATTGTAGCCTAAAGTATTTGTTGATACTTAATGGATTTTACACAATATATTTAACATTTTTGCTGTGCTGGGAAAACAGAATAAATATTAATCTCTTCCACCAGTTAATTTCCTCAACAGTCAGCTTCTGCTAAATGAGCTTTAGCACAGTCTTACAACACTATGTCTAATGAAATGGCACCCTTGGTAACTTGTACAGAGAAAATATGCATGTGATGATAGAGGTTTTCTTTGAGGTTTTCTTGGAGAGAGAGGAAAAAATATTCATGCTACCAAACTCCATGGTACAGAGGGGATGTAAAGGTCTCTGATCTGTAAGGCCAAAATGGACCTAAGGCCAAGTTAATACTATCAGAGAGATTACATCATCATAGAGATGCAAATGAGAACAACTCCAAATATGCTACAGCTAGATGCCTGAAGCATGAAGAAAAGCCAGAATAGAAGATGTTTGTGGAAGACATACATAGTCCTTTGAAAGCTAACATATATCCTATGCAGCAATTTCTTATAAAAGATTGTAGCACTGCCATATCATGTACTCCAAATTGTATGTTCACACTTGGTATTTTTCATATTTGTACTGTGCAGCGCAATATGATGGAATGTTGTGTTTTATGTAACAGTTCAATTTAGCTTTTATCAGTTCTTTCCACACCTCTAGATTTCATTCAGGCATTCTGTTTAAAACCACTGGCAGAGGTAATTCAGCTACTCTACCCATTCCACTCATACTTCCAAAATCTTCTCTAGTCACTCATCTTTGTTCATGGTAAACTCTCCTTATCTTTCTCTGAGTTTCTTAACCCTATTCTTCCACGTGTCTTGTCTTACATACTATTGAAAGGCCTTTCTTACAGCATCCATAATTTAGCCTTTTTAACATTAAAAACTGTGGAATGTCCTTAAATATATCAATAGCACTAATAAGCTTATTTCATTCCATCTTAACCTTGTATATTTTTTATTTTTTTTTATTATAAAGTCCTTTGCAGCAGGCTCAGAACACCCAGGCACGGCAATGAAGCTGACAGTACACAAATGAACACATACTAAAAAGCATTTTTATCTTTTGGGCTGTACCTTGAAAGTATCGAGTTCATCAGAAAAATATATTCCATTG